TAATAATAATAATAATACAACGTACTACTTACAACAACGTACGTATCCAAACATACGCACCTTGTAACGACAGTAATAATAATGATGATAATAATCATACTATTAATAATAATATTAATACGACATACTGCTTACAACAGCGTACATCCAAACATACGCTCCCTGAAACGACAGCTATACAGAGGAAGATAGACAATCATATTTCCAATACCTTAGTGACCACATTAACACCATCAAGAACAAAGAATATTTTATCTTGAGAGATTTAAATGGCAGAGTTGGACAAAGAAGAACCCCTGGGAAGAGTACTTGGGACCCCACAGCGATAGATACAGACTCCAAGAGCAATGGAGAAATGATACTAAACCTATGCGCTGAGCAGGACATGATGATTACGAACATATTTTTCCAACACAGACTAAGCCAAATCAAGACCTGGTATAGATGGAATGACCTGAACCATGCATCACAAATTGATTTCATCCTAATGCACAGAAAACAAAGACATACAGCCAGATTCGAGAGCGGTTCCAAACTACATCATCGACACGGACCACAGACCTGTGATACTTTATCTCACAACCAACAACGTAAAGCAAACAAAGAAGAACAGGGGTAAAACCACGACCAACCTAAGAAAATTGGAAGAACCAGACATCAAGAAGGCAATCGAGGATTACAATACCAAGGAGTAGAATAAGCTGTAACCTGAGACCAAAGACGTAGAAGACGAATGACAAACATTTAAAAAATCCCTGTCAGAAATACTGAAAAACAGTTGTGGCACCAAACAAATAGAAGGCAAAAACAAAGGCAGAACAATATGCTGGTGGAATGATGAAACCAAAGAAGCAATTAGAATGAAAAAGAAGAAATTCAAGAAATGGCAAAAGTCAAAGACCAAAGAGGACTATACTATATAGAATACTGGGAAGCGAAAAGAGAGACCAAAAGAATTATCAAATCTGCTAAAGAAAATGCATGGGAAATATATGGCGAGAAACTGACCAGATTCTGCAAGGAAAACCCAGAGAGTTTTATAAAAGTGTGAACAGCATGTAGGTAAGGAAAGACCCATACAACCCGACATGCATTATAAACGATAAAGATGGTTTTTCAGCAAACATGCCATCAAGAAAAGATGGGAAAATTACTTCCAAGAACTACTCAACCCAGACGCTTGCCACGGACAACCAGCCATCAAATGGAGAGCAAATAGAGCCACCCATACTTCTCAGTGAAGTCGAAAAGTCACTCAAAACCAGCCCCAAGAACAAAGCCCGGTGTACTGTGGCTGAGGCGAATTTTTAATTAAGCCTGGGAGCAAAGGAAATGCCCAGAAGACTGGCAGAAATAGACAGTGGTCCCATTATTTATGGAAAAAAGGCAACAAATGCGACCTGACAACATACAGAGGCATCTCCTTGTTAAGCCACGCAGGAAAAACATACGCAAAGATATTAGAACAGCGGATAAGATCTATTGCAGAGAGAAATCTGAGCAAAGCTCAGTTTGGATTTCGAAAGGGAAGAGGATGCATGAATGCTGTATACGAAATTACGACAGATGTGCGAGAACATAATCGAACACAACAAAGAATTCCAACATCGTTTTTATAGACCAGGAGAAGGCTTTTGACAGAGTATGGCGTCAAAGGACAAATGTTAGATAATGTCAGAGCTCTATATGCCGACAGCAGATGCTCAGTAAGAACGGAGGAAGACAATTATACAGACTGGTTCAAAGTAAGATGTGGAGAACGACTGGGATGCGCTCTTTCTCCCCATATATGGACACAAAATAACGCAAGACGCAAACCAAAGCCCAGAAAGCCTAAATGAACTTCTATTCGCAGACGACCAATGTTTTATTCATCCACTCCAACAAAGCCTCCAAAATCACAATACCAAACTGAATAACAGCTGCGAGAAATTTTACATGAAAATAAGCATATAAATAACAGTAGTTACAAAAGTGAACAGAAACCATAGTCCCCTGAACATCCATGTCACTAGTAAACAACTAAAACAGGTGAAGGAGTTTAAATATCTTGGCTGCATTTTTTCTGAAAACGGTTAATAGACAGAGAAATAGAAATGCGAACTCAAACAGCCAACGCTGTCACCTACCAGCTCGCCCCCTTCCTTTTTCATCCAAACATCTCCATGGACACAAGGAGACAGCTTATCACCCCAATATTCATACCAACATTTATGCTACCAGTACCAGTGCCAGACCTGGACATTAAGTAAAACCCTTGAAAACAAAATCTTTGCATGCGAAATGAAATTAATTTCTCCGCAAAACCCTTAACATCACAAGACGAGACAGGCAGAAAAATGAAGAAGTAAGAACAGCTATCGGCACTGAGTCCTGCCTGCATTATACACAGGAAGACAGAGGATAAAAATAATGGTTTTGCCACCTGATACGTATATATATCACCTGGCCAGCCAGCCTCGAGAGCCACCAACACCAAGCACTCTGGCTATAAAGGAAGAGGAAGGCCACGCAAAAGGTGGATCGAGGGTGTCAAGGAAAACATAACATCACAACTGAAAGAGCTGCGGAGCTGGCCTACTATAGACAACTGCATCTCCCCTCGACACTTAACGGCAACAGAGGATGAAAAACAAAAACCAATCAACCAATATTAATGATGATACTAATAATAATAATAA